GAGTTTCGATGTACAGCAGTACTGGGTTCCTACGTTTTTGCCCACAGCAACCCATATAGGGATGACTTCCCCATTCCTTTGACGTTAATCTTTTACGCCCGGATTGTCACCCATTGGACAAGAACCCAAGTGTTTTTTCTCCACGAAACCAACAGGAACAACGCCTTCCCACGGGGTTACTACCTCATCCTCTTCCTAACCTGGAGGGCGTGGAACGCCTCGTGCACGCTCCCCCACGACTGCCCGTACTTGTACGTCCACTCGAAGAAGCCCAGCAGGTAGTGCGCCAGGGGGTGCAGAAGTTCGGCGTCCCCGTCGGCCTTCAGCCCGACGCCGCTGCCGCCGCCAGCGGTGGCGATGGCCGGGCCCCCGGCGCCGCGGAGCACGTGCTCCTTGAGCACCTGGTGCGTTTGCTCGTTGCCCGCGGCGTGGCGGGGGTGGTGGTGCTGCACGCGGTCATGGCTGTCGTGGTCGTGGTGGCCACCCCCGCGGCCGAACAACGGCTCGGGGGGGGCGTGCTCGAAGCGCGGCTCCGAGGAGGCCAGGGCGGAGGTCGCAGCGGCGGCGGTCAGCAGCAGGCTTAACGAGGAGTTCTTCATGGTGGTCTTCTTCAGTGTCGCTGCTGTACTCTGCCGTGGAGGGAAGAGGTAGGGGCGGGGGGTTGAGTGGGAGGCGCGTTCGAGAAAGTGCCATGTGGAGGGCTGTGGGTAATATTTTCTCCTCTACTTCGCGAAGATGATTCCTCCTGGAGGAATGTTAAGCCGTGCGTGCAAGCTGATCGGTTCTTTTCCTCCGTTTCTTTCATTGCACATTCGCTCATGGCTCGAGAGCGAAGGTGGAGCTTCCGTAATGTTAGTTAACATCTTCTGCGCCATGGTACATAGCATACCGGTAAAGACGTGCACGCGCGTTTTCGTGCACGTGCGTTTTGCTTTTCCAACTGTAGCAGATGTAGTGCCCTCGGAACGTCGCATTTGCTGCTCTCAGGGTTCTTCAGTCTTCACCCTCATTAGACCCTGTCATGTCAGTGGAAGGACGTAGCTCCTTGCAGTTCCCGAAAGGGATGTACCAGGTACGTTAATTGGGGATGCCGAAATCAAAAGATGCGATACGTTGTTGGAGAGCTCTCGACGACACGTTTCCAGCGCCGCCATTTCGGTACTGCTGTGCTGTTTGTGCTGCAGAGTAATCGAGCTTTGAAAATCGGTCCAGAGGGTATGGAATATCCATGCAACAATGCATGCGCTACCCAACGCACTAGTTTTAAAGGTGAGTCTTTGAGGTGTTGGGGGGGACGGGAAACGGCAATCCTAGATACCCAGCTTCGAGTTCAGCCAGCTCGCACCTCCTGTTTGTTCAACGGCAGTTCGTCGCCTTTGCCACATTCAGGGCACCCTTTCTTCGCAAACTGCTGTTCCAACCGCCGAAACAAGTCTACTCTGTTGTCTGCGCATGCACATGATCGCCCAAAACTGCTGAGACGTAGTAATGAAAACCAATACGGCTGTTGTCGGAGCTCATGGTGTACTTAACGATATGCGTACGTCGTTCTTTGTCGCTATTTTCCATTTTCAAAATCAACCCAGCGGGCGTTTGGAAGGAAAACTGCTGTTATTAGGGTAGCGTACCAAAAGTACCACACGACACAGAGCAAGCAGTCTGTGCGCGACTTGAGACGGTGGCACCCCGTAAACCGCCGGGCTAGGCGGCTGCCATCGAGCATGCTCGGTTCCCAGATGTAATGTAGTCTGCTGGCAAACTGCTGATGTTCCATCATAGGTGTGAAATCCCCCTTCTCGCCGCCAAATAACCCCCGCTCGCTGTCAAGGGTCACACCACACATCGGGAGACTATCACCATCAACGTAGAAAAAACTATTGCGACACAACAATTGCAGTGTCGACCACCGTAGGAAGCCTTCCTTGAAGTTCAACACCAATCGATCTGGCTGCTCGAGGTACTCCCCAGTACCCGAGGGTGCTTACAAATGAAAATGTAGACAATACCACCAGCGACCTTCCTCTTCATCAGAAAGAAACCAGAGAACGGCGACCGGCCAAGTTCAACATGGGGCGATACACACATCTGGAATATGTCGGAAAGAGAATGCGCCACCGCCCTTGAAACGAAACCACATCGACAGGACAACACCAACACGTTTCGAGTAAGAGGTCCGGTACGTCGAATCCGGCGCCGTTCAAGCCCTCAGGCATCTCCCACAAGCGCACGAGTCGGAAGAGCGTGGCGGAGTGACGCAAGTATATGTGATCTCTTCCCAAAACGCGGCCTCGAAATGACTTGATGTCGAAACTACCAACTGCTTGCGCCCAAGGGCGGGGTGTGGACATTGTACACGGACAGGTGTCTGGCACCAGGGGAGCCTTGTCGGCAGAGACCCGCGGGGCGGAGTGACCTACTTCTTCCGTCGGCACGGCATTCTCCCAAGAGAAGAGAGGGCGTGCAGGAAGACGCAACAAACTGGAAAACACGTGTTGTTCGTACTAAACATCGGAAATAACTTGTTGTAGAGATCGGCTCTCCGCGGACAAGCCAGATCCTTGTTGCCTAGGACAGACACGGCACTGAGACAAACCACTGCTGTATTTTGATCTACAACGTGAAGGTATCATCGCGGGTCCGCTCGGTACAAGCAACGGCACCTTGACACCGGACCACCATGCCAAATCGCGTCGTTGGAACAAGAGTCGGTTAGTTGTCCGACTGAAACAAAAGGGGCCTCGCGAGCACGAAAGGGTGGAGAGGCAGGCCTGTGTACCGATCGAGAGGGCACGCACGGGAAAAGATTACTTTGTATGTCCAGAGGGGGGGAGGGAGAGGACTCACATGTCGTCTTAGGAGTAGCCGCTGTCTTCCGGGGAGAGCGTGGTTTGTGTGCCCGGGGTAGCAGAGAGAGTACAAGCCTGCCAAGTCAAGAGCGGGGAGAGGGGAAGAAGCATAAGTGGGGTATCCTAATGTCAGTCGCGGGGCCCCGTTTGGACTCGGTTCGGTTCGGGCGTCGTCTGTCGCAGGGTCAGGGGTCGTGGTCTTGGTTTATTCCAAGCTTGCTCTCTACACAGCTAGCTAGGCGGAACGCGGGAATCGTGATGATGTGCGTGTGTGATTTTTCTGGTTTCCGTAGCCCAACATGGAACGGCAAAGGAGATGACCGGCTTACAAGACCATTATTGATCGCCTTCCATTTCTACATATATGCATACATACGGAAAATCATTATGGATCGGCTGTATGTACACCACACGATTACTTCGCTGTCTCGTTTGTCCGAAAGCTATACAGCAGTACCGCATTATCTTGGTTCTGTCTGGGCAGATTTTTGCCGCATTACCAAGCAGAGTGTACACCTCCTTCTCCATGGGAGCGTGTCGATGGCCATGAGAGGACCATCTTCTTGAACGTGACACAGCACGTCTGTCTCAGAGATCCGGTGATGGTTTTTGGTGGGCGTTTCTTTCAACGGAGATAATCAATGGAGCCTAAACGGAAGCCCCGCAAAGTCTAAGTCTTATTCGATGAGACACCAATTTAGTCGATAGTTTTCATTCAGATGACCAGTCTCTCTTCGTTCTCTCGCCTTGTTTTTCGATAAGGACCAACAGACACCGGGGCATCTTTCTGCGTGTCTTCAGAATTTCAGGGGGTTCCCATATTCTTGCCCCGCTGGGCCCCATCGACAGGATGAGACGGAAACATGACGGGCATACATACAACAGACACACCCCGCACGTAAGCCCTACGTATGTTATGACCAATGGGCGAATAATCGCGCGGACCTCGGCACCCGGCTAAAAATAAATCTCGTCTCGAATCCGTCACACCGCCAACATGTCAACTTCCCTGTGAGCACAACCAGTCAATCCCATACCAAACATTTCGCGCCAAGAACGAGCGTTGGTGAGCGCAGCACTACACAGACTGCACCAATCCATATGCATTCTACCATGTACTCCGAACAAGCATCGTGGAGAATCGTTACGCTGTGCCGCCGAAACCGACTCTGTTTCTTGCGCACGACGTGTACCCGTAGGTAGGCGAGAAGATACATAGACAGATCATTCATCTCGCATGGACGTTGTGTAGGCGCGGGGGCTGCGTAGAGGGCAAGGACGCGTACAAATGGGGATCGTTGACAAGTTTGCACTTCCTTCAGCCTATGCGGTAAAGACGACGACAGCGTCGACAAAATATTAACACAGGAGAGCAGCAGCGACTCCTCAACCGCACATATTCACAAAAAAAAATCAGGCCACAAACCAACGTCGAGCCGCTATTGCATACTACCACATTAAAACGGGATCTGATATCCAACTAGAGCTATCGCATGAACCACACAGACAGGAAAGCCAAAAATCACGCCTCCTCCCTTCCTCTACGTCACGACCCGATATCTGCATAGCTACAAATAGGCCGTAAATAACCGCATAGCACCGTGCGGAGAAAACAACCCTCTAGAAATCATATTTCAGTAATATCTCAAAAGATTCCACATTCGATGGACGCCAGGTACGTGTTCCCAACTATAATACGTTTTTTACCTAAAACTGTCTCCATATGATGCCACTTTCACGAGCGACATGTAGGACCAGACTCGGTTTCGCCCTATTCACCAAACAAGCAACTCATCGGCTTCAGCCCGTAGCTTAGACCATAGAATCCTCAAAAAAAGTGATTGAATCTCGTGTGATTTTTACAACTGCCGTTCACCGTGCGTGCGGCGAGACTTCTAACTGACATTTCGCCCATAACGGAATCTCTTCAGCTCGCCTTCTTACCTTACCGAAGTTAACCATCTTACCTTACCGAAGTTAACGATAACTGCTTGACTTCGCGTGGCCTTTCCTCGCCTAAACGGCGCGGGAGCACACTATAAACCAGCATTAGCAGCGGTGGCCGGCTTAAGTACGATACTTCACCGGATTTTCGACCTGACCGGAGTACAGAGCTTCCGGATAGACTACCCAAACGCACTTCTGGTAACACTATTAGTTCGGCATGTGGGGTGGTGGCCAGCCACTAGCCGCCGCCGACGCTCCCGCGAGTCTTGCCTGCGCCTGCCTTCTGGCTATTCTGTCTGTTCTCCGCAGGCCTGAGTCTCCCCTTCGACCCGCCGCTCTCAAGCTAATTCTGGGCTCGCCGATTTCACCACCACCACCTCCAACAATGCCAGTGGTAGGAGCCGCCGCAGAAGCTGTCGGGAAGCCGGGAGCACCGGCGTCGAATCCCATCGACATCATGTCATTCGTTCGCGACTGCTGCTCGTCGCCTGCCTCTCCGAGTATTGCCGCACGTGTACCCCTGCGGGCCGGGCCGATTGGATGGTTCAGAAAAATGTTAAACAAATGCCAAGCTCGGGCCATCTTGTCCAGGCAATACGCTTTTCGGGAAAACGTATTGGTTCCAGCTTCCAGCCATGACTACTCCCCAAGGCGCCACGTGCTGTTTCCAGACGTCAGTGTTAGCGTCCAGTTTAACACGACTTCAGTACATCAGCACGTTCCTGCTGGTGGGGACTAAGGCCAGATGCAGAAACTGCAAAATTCTCGAGAAACCCGAGCTCGGTGTCGCTCTGAATAGAATGTGGTGCAGACTCGCACAACGGGTTCTAGGCTCTTGCGAACGTGTTGTACTCCTTCCGAAGGACGCATTCCAATCACCGAACTTCTATGCATACCAGAGAGAAAAATTGGACTCGCGTTTGCCTGATGTCAACTGGTTGCGGCTGAACATGACGATTTTCGCTCAAGGGTGCAGGACGAAGCGGGGAGAGTCTTTCACAAGAATACAAGCCACCGGAAGACGGTGGGACCGCACGCACACACACCTGTAAACCTTGATGAGAACGTTCAAGCGCGGCTGGAGGTTCTCGAAGGCCACCACCATCTTGTCCCGCCCCGCGACCACGAAGGCTAGGTAGAAGACGACTCTGTGCATGGTGATACCCTCGTTGATTAAGATGGCCTTGATCTTCGCTTTGTCCAAGAACTGAACCAGAGCGAAACAAGGAGGATGGTGGGAACGATAGCATCAGAGGCAGAAAAACAGCTGCATAAGTAACGAAAAGGAAGGCCTAGGGCAGTCAGTGGTGGGTCTATCGGCGGGCTTCTTCGTGTTCCGTCGGGAAGGAGCATAGAAGGTGACGACAAGCGTCATGTGCTTCCGGGAGCAAGAGCAACGAATAGGCATCGTGAGGGGCGCATGCCCCTGCGGGGAAAGTTGATCAGCGCATGTACCACCAAAACATCGGACGAGTTGATGTCGTACTGCAGATGCAGCCTCCGACAAGAACTATTATAGGGGTGTCCACTGCGCCACAGCAACGACCAACAGCCAGTGCGGTAGTTGCCCCCCCCCCCCCCCCACAGTGGTACCCACAAAAAAAACAGGGCTTTGAGAGGGATTTAGCCTCACCGTGGTCTTCTCTCGGCCGTCGACGTACTTGGTGGTCACCTGCACCCCCAGCTCGCGCACTACCAGCAAAAACTCTGTGGAAGGGCACCCACGAGGGCGACAGAAAAGGATCACACACAAAAACGCGAATTGGGCGGCACAAGGCGAGTTGTTGGTTGATTCGGGAACACAGGCTGCTTGCCGCCTACCACACGGCGGTGTCTCTTGAAAATAACATGCGCGCGTGCGTGTAGTCTTCAGCTACTGCGAACTGATTGCTTCAGCCCTTGTAACCAACGACGCTGACGCGAGGGCATCGCTAAAATAGGAGAACGATCGGAAACCTATCAGCAAGATGCCGTCTTTGCGAAGAAAACGAACGACAGCCTCAAACGGTCCAGGTGCGGTGTCCCGCGAAGCACCCTCTTTGGAAAATAAAGACAGACACGACGCACCTTCTCGAACTCGAGACCGACATCCAAGAGACCAAGCCAGGCAGAACAGGACTAAGACAAGCCCGACCCCTCCCAGGAAAGCCGAGCCCTTCACAGCGAGCGACTGCTGTTGCAAGTCAAGAGTCGAATCACGCCAAGGAGGAAGCGGGGTGGTGAGGTAGGTGTGTTAGCTCCCCAGGTCAAGAAATCGGGTGACAGAATGACTAATTCATGTCACAAGCCGGGCGATAACGTTGTAAAAATTAGTATTTTGAAACGTTTAAAGTATATTATCACCGGATGAGTATGTGTGGTATATGTACGGCTCGCGTTTTATGTCATCTCCAAGTCTGTTTTTCGTGAGAGGGGACGGGATCGATATGCCCACATGGAATCAGCACATCAGCACCCATCCGTGTGCCACCTACGGATATTTCAACTGTCTATTTAGGTGACGTGCGGGAATTAGGGGGCCACCCGAGAGATGTCTTCGTCCAAAACAGTCCCCCCCTCCGAACGTTTGTTTAATATCTTGGTTTGAGTTTGCCACTAGCTCCAACGACTACTGCTGTAACACGACGACCTGTGTTTGTGTGCAGGTGCGCAAAAACTCTATCTAATTTAGAGGAGCGAACCTCCTGCTGAATCTACTGGCAGACTATGTACTTGTAGTAAGTAGTGTTGCTGCGCGCGTGAACAGTACGAGAGTGAATATATTGCAGGGCGCCATGCCAAGCACAAAATTTCCTAGAGCTTTAGGTCTTCGCTGCTGCTACCCGGTGTCTCGGTGTCATCCCTTGAATAAATGCCGTACGTTACCACCGCGCACAACGACGAACGGCAAAAGGTTGCAGTCAATAATGTGTCGATGTACTTGGAGTACCTGTCCGAAGAGGCTCGCCCCAGCAACCGCAACTGCCGCTCTCACCCACGCTCCGCCACACGAGTGGTCACCGTCACTAGGAGTGTACTTGAATTTTGTTGCGTTCTCTCCCAGTCTCTCGCAGGTGTACATCCGGGAGAGACGGGCACACGTGGTGTGGGTGTCGGGTGTGGGTTGCACTCGCCGTCGCGACCAAGAGAGGGAGCCCCGCAGACGGGACTCTAGATGAACTCGAGGGGGGGGAGCGGCGAGCGGGCTGTGTCCAGTGTGCGCTCGCACAGAGCCACTGCGCACAGCGGCACTGCGGCAGACCAGCAACAGCCCGCGGCAGGAGGGCGACAGAGGCCTGTGTGTAGACTAGCAGAGCTGGCATCTGGAGGTGTCCACCGAATTGGTCAATGTCTCCTGTGAGAGGCCATGGCGTCCATCGAGCGGTTGGGATCTGCTGCTTTGGTAAGTCGGCCACTTGTTGTCTTCTTGGTGAGTCTGAAAGGGGTGCTCTGTGCTCTATGAACGGCACTGACAGATAGATGCACGGCGTTCTTGGGGAACACTCCGTGCCTGTGCGGGGTCCCTTCACGTCGTGGTTGATGTTATCGGTTGCAACAGCAGTATTTGCATGTTGGCTATGACCGTGTGCGTCGGTAGCATTCAATTCCTGCAGCGTATGTGGTCCATCTCAGAACTCTAGCCCGCGGAAGATCCTTGTGGATCCGCCCTCTCTTATCTACATTCTACATACGGTATGTATCGCAGCTGAAATGTAGGCATGACGAGCTAATCTTGCTGGCCTGCCAGGGTCAACTGATACCGGGCGTGCCAAGGACTCACCTAATAGGCTCATGTTTAAAGTTGACTGGTGGATTCACAACAGTGGTTCCTTCCTCTCTCTACTCCGAATTTTTGTGAAAACAGGGTTAGCCATGAGAATCGGACTGTCTCTTTCTGGCCTACAGCCGATGCTAGCGGGTGCGATGGAGCTTGTCGTGTCTTCCACGTCCTGGGAGCGGGCACAGGAAGGATATTTCCTGGGAACCCTGTGAGTACCCACTGCCGATTGGAGTATCGCAAAGGGGTCTCGTGACGAGTTTCACACGTTTTAAGGAATAATAAAAACACACACAGAAAGACTACCCATTCGAGATATACCCACAGTCGAACGGGATGTGGTGGAGTCTTTTCAGTGAGTGGAGGGAAACCGGCTGGGTACTGGACTTATTTCGTTTATTATAGAGATTGTGTGTGTATCCTAGCACGTACAATAGCAGCAGAGGCTGACGCCCGCCGACGCCACAATAGTCGGTGCGATAGCTCGACGTGGAGCTTGTAGCAGCAGAAGCACAGCAGTACTAGAGTGCAGAAGAAGATGCATAGATGTTGTAAACACGGCGCTCAGGCGGCCAACGCAGACAGATACACCAGACAGACGGTTGTAGTCCAGGCAGTATGCCAGCAGCATCCAAGGTACGACAAGGACAGCTAGAGGACCCAGACAGTCCGATAGATCACAGAGAGAGATGCCAAAGAGTGAGGTCGTGCACGGAACGACAGAACGAGCGACAGACTACGTACAACTAACTGTAGTTCCTCCGCATACGTTGCGTTCCAACCGACACATAGATAACACATACGTCATTCGTCTACATAAGCAGTAGTACTGAACATTGACTAAAACAGGAGATGCGTAGGCATTTGGCACTTACATAACAACGTTCTGCTGTGGAAATAAACCAGACGAGGCTCGCTTGCTCCAACGGTCGAAATGTAAACACTCCGCTGTCGATGGTGCGTATCAGTTCTATACCCCTTAGGTCGTCGCGATCCACATGTTGGTGCCTCCTTTTCCGTTTCGTACTCGCGATCGTGATTGCCCTCTTTGTTCTCGGGGGTACTTGAAACGCAAGAAAGACAGGTGTTGAATACGGCATGCTGGGTGAATGGCCTTCGTTCTTTAATCGAGACTTCCCGCTTCTTGCCACAGCGGTGTATCCCCATGTCCTCAAGAACCCCAAATATATCAAGCATTCAACGCCAAGTGGCCTGCCTTTCAACCGGGGTACAGCTCATGTTGGCCTAACTCGATGACGTTCAGCACGCTCTCTTACTCGCTCAGCACGCTTTTTTACTCTTTTTGGCCGCACACTGCAGGGGGTTTTCCCATTATGCCGGAGGCGCTTTTTCGGGATCGCCTTTGATGCTAGCGGCAGTGGCCCTCTGCGCGATGCTGCCCGCCGCCGTGCGGGCAGTCGGTGCGGCAGTTCTTTTCTGCGCCTTCGATCTCGCCAGCGCTCTCCTGCTTCGAGCTATATGCGTGCGCGCGGTGGCAGTGGAGTCGTGCGAATGGTAAGAAGCAACCACCCCCCCCCTTGCTGTTGATTGAGGAGCATCTTGTTTCGATTGCTGCTGTTCTTTTTTGTGTTTCCCAGAGGGCTATAACTCTTTTACGATCGTTCGTGAGAGCCAATGTGGTCCCACGACGAAGGCGACCAAGAGATGGTGCTTAGGGTTTCACCTTCTTAAGAAAAAATATCACGAATCTTGCGCCCCTGGCAAAGCAAAATGTATAAAATCGGAGGTTATCTCCCCCTTTTTTATATTTCACGGTTGTTCAACCTCTTGCTTCCAGGGAAACCCAGCTGGAGGAGTGGATGGACGAAGACTCAAAGCCTCCGACGGACGACCCGATCTCTTCAACAAGCATCGCGGTGGAATCTAACCTCGCCGGCGGTGCAAACACAAAGCGGCAGACGGGAAACGCCGCTGTATCCCGTGGAAACCCCACAGGTGTTTCTTCGGCCGGTGCGGGTGGCGTTGCGTGGGACCTCCCCGATGTCGTTCTCGCGGCCTACCTGCTTAACCCCGTTATTGCCGGCCAGTGCGCCGCCCTGTCGGGCGACGTGCTAGGGCGCGTGTTCCCCTTAGCCGCGCTGGCGGCCGCAGGGTCTCGGCGACCGGGAGTCACTGCCGGAGCCCTTGCGGCGGCCGCCTGTCTTTGGCGCTTTTACGCCGCGCCGCTGCTACTGCCGGCGGCCCTGATGCTTGGGACTTTTTCCTGCGGGAGCGCCGGAGCCGCGACGAACAAGGCTGGCGGTAAGAAAGCAGCAGCGTTCGACCCTCGGTCCCTGAAGGTCGACGGCAAGGCGTTCCTCCGTCTTTCTGCGGCGTTCGCGGCGTGGTGCGCGGCCATCCTTGGGGTGTGTTGGCTGGCCACGTCTGGATCATGGGCGTTCTTGTGGGCGGCGGCGAGGGGCCAGCTTTTGTGCGAAGATCTTACCCCTAACATCGGGCTGTACTGGTACTTCTTTGCGGAGGTGTTTCCGAGGTTCCGCGGGTTCTTTCGCGTCCTGTTCCTGTCTCAGCCCTACGTGTATGTCCTCCCCGCCACGCTGAGGCTCGGCATGTTCCCTGAGGCACTGGTGAGAACTTGAACCGAACGTGCGCTTCGGGGTGTTGAAAATTCTCAGAAAGCGCTGTCCCTCTTCTAAAGATGGCCGTACAAAACGGGTCAGCTGTTCAGCAGTATCAATATTTTTCACGGCACGGTGAGTTTCCTTCTGCATGGTTATGCTTTGCGTTCGACAGCAAGCACTGCGCCGTTGCCGCGTGTTTAGTGCTTCAGTACCCGCCCTTGCGGAATGTTGTTCGTACTCTGGCAACCCTCGGTGACCTTCTCCGAGCGAGGGTTTGCACCCTTTCCCTCCATACCCTGCTGATCCTGCCCCCTCTCGCACGTTCTACTGTTGCACAGGCGTCGCTCGTGCTGGCTATCTTCGGGCTTTTCCAGCCGTACCCCACCCTGGTCGATCCGATGCTGGCGGGGTGCCTTTTCCTGTGCCACCCCCGCACCTCCGCCCGCATGCGGCTCGTGATTCCCGTGGGGATGGCAGCCCTGGTGCCGGCCTTGCTGCTGCCGACGATGCGCCACTTGTGGCTGCAGGCGGGCACCGGCAACGCCAACTTCTACTACTTTCAGACGGTGGGGCTCAACGTGCTTCTCGCCGTGTTCGTGCTGCAGTTCGCCGCTGCACTAGTCAAGAGGCGAAAGGCGCTGACGATGGCGTTCGAGAAGCGGAGAAAAGCTCAAGCTGCAGCGGCAGGGACCGGGGGTGGGGCAGCGGTAGCATTCAAGGGGGATTCCTGACGATGTGGGAGGGATGGTGTGCCCGGATTTTTGGCCATGGCTCTTCTCTATTGTAAGGGTACACCTTCTCTTCGTATTGAGCACTGTTGTCCGGGATGGGGGAAGGACAGCCATGCGTTGATTCAGTTGACGGAATACGATTCAACAACTACTGCTGTGTTTAGTGCTTTGGAGGAAATGCCGAAGGGGGTCGGTTGGTCCGATTAAGCCTAATATTATAAGCACGAATGGCGACGAGGGTGTGCACGAAACACAATACATACGCATGTGCGTTGCACTGAGTAAATATATCGAATGCATCGACAAGTGGATTGCATGGTTATCGGGTCAACTGGTGGACGACAGGCGCCAAATATAAGCGATTTGGGGGGGCAGGGCAGCGAGTGCTACGTCCGCTGCCGGTACAACGTTAGCAGCACTTTATTTCAGTCTTGCCTCCAGTACAGGATTTATTTGGAGGGAGTAACGCGCTTGAACGCACATTGCTTGGTGCCAGACCACCAAGTGGTTGACAGATCAAATCTAGACCACGAAGAGCCTACATCAGAGAAGCCAGCCTTCGTCTCTTGTGATCATCTGCATCTATCTGTCCGGCCGGTTTAGCACCCAAAAATTGCTCCTGAGAGTACTGATGGTATACACTGGCTATGCAAACGTTCCAGATCGATCTAAACTGCACTACAACCTCTCGAAGAAGCGCGACTCCGTGCCACACGATCCCCATCCTCACACTATAAACACAAGACGTATCTATTTTTGGGTTTGGGCGTGACAGAGTAGTGAAGCGAGCGAGCAAATAGCCAGGGGGGGAGGGGAGGATAAAAAAAAAAAAGACGAAACGCCTCCGCGACGAAAATCTCGAGAGCCTGGCCGCGCGCGCGCCGGAGCGTGCTTCTTGCGTCGTGCAATTGGAGAGGTGTGCGCTAGAACGTGTGCACGGGCAGGAGCTGAGAAGAGAGGAGGTAAGTACTGTGCAAGCGTTGAACTTTTGCTTGTGTACGCTCGCTTCCCTTCAAGACCGTACCGGTACTGATGAAAATGGTCCAGCGACATCTCTGGCCGAACAACACACACACCCGTTCTTCTGCTGTCTGACAACGAGTCTCGGCAGTGGTAGACAGCACCAAAGGAGAGTGACCTCTTGCACGTCCCGTGCAGGCGGCCGAATTGGGTTGCCTTGACTTAGCAGGGCACAAGGATTGCTTGTTGTTGGCGTGGAGAGGCTGCTTGGACGCACAAAGTATCGTTGCAAGGCACAAACTTTGCAAAAGTAGTTGTGCTCTGCTGCGTATCACGCCGAGAGATGGATGGAACCTGCCTGCTGCACAGCTACTACAGCAGTAGGCGGCGTTGGGCGTTGTGCAGCAGCCCGCACACAGCGTGTCGATCATGCCAACGAGAACAGCTGACGCCAAGGTTCCTCAAGCATGCGTTAATCGCGGCGTTCCCTGTGGGTGAAATTGGTCAGCAGTTGTACATACTAGTTTTGCGCAATCGTGTACAAATTGCTCCACTTGCTCCCAGGCTTGTACTTCGAAGTTTGGCGTAGAGGGGCTGCCCTCCGAGCGTTTCAGCCTTTGCTGTGCCCACGACGCCCGTCTGCTGCAACGGCACACGTCGCAAGGCGTGACTTCTTGCTCAGCAGCAAGTGCATCCATTGTTTGCCTGTGATTGCAATGCTCCAGTAGCCTGGCAGCCGGGTTTTTGCAGATTTGTTTTTGCGCCCCAAATTGTACTGGTTTTTGTGTATGTGACCCAGCCGTACACACCGGAGTACAGAGAGCACACGACAGGACCTTATGTTTATGTAAACTTTGCAACGGATGGAAAGGACTCTTACTGTAACCCTTGCCGCGTTAAAATAGAGATAGAGGGCGAGCATGACAGGAGGAAAGGTGGGTGAAAAAAACTCCTGTGTTTTCCCGACCTCCTGTGTGCTCCCGGCTGGTGTGTACTGTTGTTTGTACTGAGTGCCATCTGTAGTTGAACGCATACAAGGCGCACAGCAGTAATGTATGTAGACTGCTGCATCCAGGTTCAACAATGCACTGGCTGTCATCTTTAGACGAGACCCAACATACAATCGAACAGCTGTGCCAAGCTGTCTGCTGGTTCCTTGTATGCAGCAGACACCTCACCTCAATTGTTTTCAAGGTTAAGATGCGCGTTCGTGAAGCAAGGTTTGTGTACCGCTGTGCGGCCTCCCGTTGCAGTGGGCGGAGACTCCCGTATACGTCGACCTTCTTCGTTAACACCAGTTCCGGTGCGTGAAATTAAGGGATGCTCATGAACAAAGGCAGGCAGGCGGCCCTCGAGATGCCTGTCTCTTGCCTCTCACACACCGTGGTAGGCGGACGGCTGAAGCGAAACGTTCGCCTGGCACACCACTAGCCTTGCTAGTCATGTGTTGGGACGCACCCCTCTGCAGGCGTTGTTTTCGGGCTCTCGCTCCGATTCTCACGACGTTCTTTGCAGGCTTCAACGGAAGTCGCCTGATCCATCATTGGCACCCTTTGCGCTCCCATGGAAGACTCGCCATCAGCCATGTACGAACACCACCCCAGCTGTGCTTCCTGTCAGCCCAGACCATACTTAGTAGACTGACTCGTCCCCGATCCCTGAACATTTTGCGCTCGGAAACCGTTTCCTGCAACGGCAGGAGGTTGTGTGTTGCAGCGACGATGCTTAGCCGTGTTGCGAACGCCGGGGCGAGGGGAGCGCTGAGGGCGCGCTTGCCCGCCGCTTCCGCTGGCGGACGCGCCCGGGTACCGCCGCTGATCCAGCCTGCCTTCCAGAGCTTTCACGCGGGTGAGAGATTTATGTACACTGCTGTATGCATTCATTGCTATTCTATCCCGGGTTCTTTTCTGTGAAGAGGTGGGTTGTGTTCTTCGTAAATTAAGAGCAAAAAAACTTTAAAATATCCGTAATTTTGAGAGCAAAGCCCGCCAACGAAATGTGATACGGGTGTGTTGGTAGCTTTATTTGTTGTGTGTTCGGGGAAGACATGTCGGCACTGAAGGGGGGCAGTGTGAATGTCGCTCACATGTTGGTGAGTTTCGCGGCGGCGTGAGTGGAGCTGAGGAATAGCGCGAACCAGCCGTCTCAGGGAGCGGATGGAAGGCTTTGGACGTGCCACTGAACGTCGGCACTGGTTCGGTCGTCCCTACCGCAGACGGCATCACCCCGCCCCCCGTCCCCCGACTCGGGGTTTCTCTTCACCGAGCTCAGACCAGACGGGAAGCCACCCCGAGCCGCTTCTTTCGCCAAAGCCGCTCTTGAGCACTCAGCTAGCGCCCAGTTCTTTTGTTACATGTGTTGTGCTTGCGGGTGGTCCACGGTTACTTCCCAGCCCTCTGGTTCGTTTAGTTTGGCTAGGCCCGTCCGGGAGGTCTTGTAGCTATACACAGATGGTACCTATACACAGATGGATATACCACTGCTGTGTTCGTATACGGTATGCACAAGGACGCTGTTTCTTTTTGCTCACCTGGCAACAGCAGTGTGGCAATTTTTTTCCTTCGGAGGATTTGATGTGAGGCGACAGGACTACAACAATAGGTACGCAGCAACGACCAAAATGACGACAACTAGTATACAACAACATTCGTCGACAACTAGTATACAGCAACATTCGTCGAAAACTAGTATACAACAACATTCGTCGAAAACAGCAAACCCCTTTCTCCATTTTTTCTTATTCGTGCTCAAGCTTAACCTCGTGCCCCCCCCCCCCCCCCACACACACACACAAACTTGTTGTGTCACCCGTTGCTTTGTTAAAAGGCCTTCCCAGCAGGGAATCGGCGGTAGACAAGCCAGCACCCTCGAGGGCAGAGGATATCGAGGCAAACAAGAACGCCAAGCTTTTCGGCGACAACCCTCGTCTTGAGGGGATGATCGAAGCGGTACGTTCTCCATCCCGGTTTTTTTTCTCTCTCTCTGTTGGAATCTGTTGTCGTACATGTACATGTCTCGGGGGGTGGAACAATGTCAAAGCGGCGGTTCTCCCGGCGGTTGTGGTCGTTTTTTGTTGTTGTAAAGCATAGGCAGAGGCACATATGCATTATCTAAAATACAGCATGCGGTGATTGGAGGTGCCTGTATTAGGAATGGGCAGGTGCGCCGCCTCGTAAGACGTGGGTGGTCGACGGCCAAACGACTTGCAAGCAACCAAAACGCGTACGCCCCGCGTCCTCACGAACACCATGCGCCTGTGTCCTCCTTTGCATCGCGTGTGTGGAGTCCAGGGCAAGTTGGATAGCGCGAAGCGGCTGGTTCCATTGGCTCTCTTCCTGACGGTTCCGGCCTTGTGCCGCGAGTGGTACGTGATGACGGAGGAGACGATGCTCATGGGCTGCTTCTTCCTCTTCCTTGGCGCCGCCATGGACTTCGGCGGGGAGGGTGTCGGAAAGTACTTCGACGACCAGGTCGGTCGGTTGGTCGGTCGAAATCGTGGAAGGGGTGCCGAATTCGTGGGACAGGTTTCGAGGTCGTGGGTTTGGCGCGTCGCCACTATAATAGTGCTCTCTGCTGAAGTACCGGGTGTTACAGAGTAGTCTGGGACTCCTACCAAGTTTTGACGGTGTGTGTCATACTCCCCTCCCCTTGGGGCTAAGTTTCAAAGCTCGGTTGCTCCGCACGAGAACCGATGTTACTGCACTGCCGAGAACTCCTTTCGCCCGGCGCTGGCACCGTGTTGGTAGCGGCGCCATCGACAATTGATCGTTGGCCCAAAAGGGATCTGAGATTTATATTGTGTTCGCTGTTTGTACATACTGTACACATGTTTCAGTAATATTTTCGGCGCACCAGCCGGAGTAACGCATTAGTTTTTTGCTTTTTCGCCCCAAGTTCCTTCTGCGATTCTTGGCCCAGTGTAAAAGTGCAACAGCAGTGCCAATGGTAGAGTGCGGTAGTCCAAAAGTATTTTTGGTCCAGTCCATATATATTTTCCTTCATATACCGCCCGTCCCTCATCTTCTTCTCGCTCTTCGCAACCCTCGCCCTTACCGTTGTCTCTGACCTTCTGTATCCCTCTTGGTCCCCCCTGCCGGCAGACGGCGGAGATCAAGCGTGCGCAGCAGTCGGCCGAGCAGGAGCAGATCAAGGTGTGTAATACACTGTTCTATTATCAAAGTATTTATTATATTTTAGTGTACACCGCGTACCGTTAAATTAATTTGGCTGGGTGATGATGTTGTGTTGGCGTTCGGGGTGTTGCCCATGCACCGCATGGTGATGCCACATGCTTGTGTGCGTGTCTTTTTCGCTTGGCGGTCTGAATGAAAGAACGAGCGACCGTAGGTGGAGAACGAGAGAAAGAGAGAAAGAAACGCCCTTATTGGAACACCTCGAAACAGACGCCCACAGCTGCTGTACATGTCTTGTGCGAATCGACCCATCGATGGCCTCTCGATGCGTGAGGCTGTCCCGTTTTTTGTTTATTTATTTCGTACGAAGACAAGGCAAAACTCCACGTCATCAGTGTCGACGGCTATCGGCGGCCCAGGATAAAACAAACTTTGCGATACGCTGCATATTTTGTGTTGGCTTGTTTGCTGTTTTTGCGTGTTCTGTTTCTGGCTTACGCTGCATATTTGTGTGTGGGCTTGTTTGTGCTCATTTTTTATTTTGTTTTGTCTCTGGGCTGCTGACATCGCTCGTGCTTGCGCAGCGAGTGACCGGGGACTTAGCGACCGAGAAGGCCCGCCTGGTGGAGATGCAGCAGATGGACGCCATCAGCAAGGCCATCGCGTACGGCAACACGCGCAGAAACGAAGCGGAGGTGCGTGCGTCGTAGCACGGGCATGCCTGGTTGACCGCTTTTGCTTGGTTTTATTTTACGGTACAGACCCGCTGTTATTGACCAAATTCTGTCGAGAAAAGTTGGGGCAACTTCCGCCCGAGAAACGTGAAATGGAGATTAAGAAATACACCTTTTAATACATGTAGCTCAGCGGTGGCTATCTCCTACACGATATCCTATGTGAGGATGGTAGTCATTTCTTGACGGCAGTGTGTGTATGTGACTAATAACCTCGGATAGTGTGATTTCGTGACGTGTGAGACGGCGGCACACGTGTGTTGGTTGCGGGCGGTGTTGCTCAAAGGAAGTAGACGTGTCTCAAGGGCTAGCCACGATGGGCAGGGTGCGACAATTTCCCACGACATGCGGACAACTGGATGTTTCTGCACGTTCTATAATACCGGTCGCCCCGGTGGTCTAGTTGGTATCCTTGAAACCTTCTAGAGGTCAGGTCAGGGGTTCGAATCCCGGCGTAAGCGAGCTTTTCTTGCAAAGTGAGTTTTTCTCTCGGTTCCGCTCCTGGCCTAGTGGATAGCGCTAGTTCGTGTGTACACAGAGGGAAGAGAGTGCTGAACTCTTCTCGCATTAAAAATCGAAGGCAAAGTACCGCAGGAGGGGAGGGAAGAGAGGGGCTCTTCTGTGTGACCACGGGTTGGAGTAAACGGCACTAGTGCTGTGAGCGTTGATTTGAAGCGAAGACAATAATAAATAAAAAAAATAAAAAAAATAAATAACACACGCAGTTACCTCAAGGCCAAACACGCGTCGATGTTGTCGTCTGCCGCGTGTTGTGCGCACCGCTAATGCTTTGTGTCACCGGCTGTTGTTTCTTAACGTTTCGTCCACCATTATTTTGTCTGCCGGCTTGGTATGTTGCTCTCTCTCCTCTCGCGCGCGCGGGCGAGCAGGCCATGGCGGCGCCACACATGAGTCGCGAGTCCACGGTGAAGTTGCTGGAGGCCCTCAGGGGCGCTAAGATCAAGCGCGTAGCGGACCTCCGCAACGCCGAGATCGCCACGGCGCTCACGGAGGTGGTGGCTAAGGTACGCAGCAGCGATGTATTACCGTACCGTGGTGGCATGTGGTACGGGAAAGTACGGCAGGCTGTTCCGCGTGAATGGTGGTGTGGAACCGGGCGCCTCTGACGCGGAGTATGTACTGACGGCAAAGCGCTCGTTGCGCATCACCCGCCACGACGAAAAAAAGTTTTGGGGACCACTGCTGCTCTCTTGTTTGTCGTTTAAGAGTATGGCACACAGGCATGCTCGTGGCACAACGACACGCCGTTTTGTGGCGCACCACGCATAGCTTGAGTTTGCGCAACAGCCCTGTTGGTGATGCAGTCAATACTGCTCGTGTGTGTATATGGTATGGATGTCTTGACAGTGAAGAATCACCCTTACCTCTTGTACTGTGTTCACTTGAGATCGCCCCCACTGATCGTCAAAGGTGCAAGAACGGGTTCCGTTATCGGAGGCTTACCCATTCTTGGGTATTTCCCCATGAAGGTGTAGCAACAGGCTCGAAGATGAAGTCATAGGCTTGCCCAAAAGAATGTACGCATGTACCAAGACGAGTAAGAGGCCCGACTCTTTCGGCTCTCGAGAACAGTGATAATCGCCAAAACTGTCGAAACCTTTCTATGCTTGTGACCCAAAACCCCTTTGTCCCTCCTTTGTCCCTTGTGCAGGTGTCGGCCGACAAGAAGCTCAAGAAGGCCGCCCTCGACAATGCCCTGATGACCCTCGCAGACCCCAGCAAGGCGGCCAAGGTGGACCCCGTCAGCGAGGTGTTCGCGCAGTACTGGAAGCAGAAGGCCATCGACACGGAGAAGAACAAAAACAAGGTATGGTACATTGTGGTACATACGATGCATACCTTGGTAGTCGATCCAACTATTTCACTCTCATTTGTTGCTCTTTGTTGTTTCACGAATGCTGCCGTCACCGCCTTTTCTGGCTTTTGTTGTTGTGTCGGTAGCTTTTTTTTTTTTTGTCTTTGCAGGTATTCATCCAGCTGCTTCCGCGACCGCTTCGTAGGTATTTTCCGATTGTTTGGATGTTGTCGTGTGTTTGTGGTTAGTGAGTGTATGCACCTACTCGTGGGAATTTCAATGCTTGCTCACGGTATACCACGGTATATGGGGAAGCAGGAAAAAAACAGGGCCTTGTCTGCGTCTCAAATTTCTTGGCGCAACAGCAGTCTTTGCTGCCTGTTTGTTGTCGCTTTCTCTTGGAAGGTGCCCACTTCCGACCTGCCGCAGGTTAATGTATTACGTACGATACACATTGGATTCTATCATGAGTGTTGCGTGGTTGTTGGGGAGTTTCGGAACGCGATTTACGAACGCTAACTCGAAGCTACTTTCGGTAGTCTCCCCCGTTACGCCTGTCTTCGATAACTTTCGTTGATTTCGGCACTTGACCCGGTGCTGCCTGGACTTCGCCCTTCCGAATCCTCCCTTGCTGCTGCCGCGGCTGCTGTTGCTGCAGCCGGTTGCCTTGACCCCGGAGCAGATCGCCACCAACGAGGCCGACATCCGGTCCCTTTGCGAGAAGGTGGGCCAGGACCCTGCCATGCTGCTGGCCAGCATGCCCAAGACCTACACGGCTGACACACCCACTCTCTTCAGCTAGACCAAGACCAAGACGAAGACGACGACCTCTCGCAAAGTGGATGACGGTTTTGGTCGGGTGGACGCGTTAGGTCGCTAGCAGCGCTTATCGCTCGGATGGGATTCAGCACACGGTGATAGTATTTTCCGTGGTGGTCCATCAGTTAGGAGGGGGAATTAGCGCTGCCTGCAGCAGCAGCAGCAGCCATGTCTGATTGTGGTGGTGGGAGGCAGGCTCACCCTCTCTTTTTCACGTCCTTGTCGTGCGGGTGCTGTGCTGAAAACGTTGGGGCGACAAAGTACGGTTAGCCCGGGCCGTTTGTGGGAGCTTCTTTACTCTTGGACGACTAGCGTAAAGAGTAAGGGTGAACACGCTTTTTTTGTTTGCCCAGATGCAAGCGGAGGCCTAGGATGTGGGGGCGCTTCGGAAACACGAGACAGGCATGGGGTATAGGGGGGGGTCGCAGTGGCTATTGCGACAGAGGAGAAGCGAGGGGGGATGGGGGTGGGCTTGGGGGGGCCGTCACCGGGCAAGGTGGAAGGTAATCACGAAGGCCTGCTTTCCTTCCGAGCCGTCTCGCAGGGTACACACCCTATATTTTTCCCATCTCCGGTTATCGAATCCGCGAATCATGAAGCCAGATGCAGGATATTTGGATCTACGCTGCGGTACCTGCTTGCTTTGGTACTCTCGAAACACCGTCCTGTGTTGAGCGGGGCTCTCGAGCGCGCCGTTAAGCCTACTGACTTCAACAATAGGCGCGTCTTCGCACGTTGGAGCTGACAATGGCGGTGGTACTCGCTCCATGCTTTTCCGTGGTTTACAAGGCACGTGTTGAGTAGGTTTTCACACCTTCACGTGCGCTCGCACACCCCATTCTAGACTCGTCGTTCGTACTCGGTGCACATGAACCGAAATGCAGCACGACTCTCCTCATGATTGTTATCGTATTACCACACACGAACATGAATCAGTAGCACCCACAAGCTTGGTCCGTACCGCCGGCATTGAGCCCACAGATCTGTGCAGCCGTCACAAGCACTTCTGTCATCCCTTCGACGTCGCCATGGTCAACGGTGTTTTCACTCCAACCATCGTTATGACAGACGACTCGGGGAGGACGTCGACCAACACCAGCAGAACAATGATTGACTCATTATGCCATTCCTTATTCAAATGCATGTGACCACGGAAGACGCCCGCGCGTCAGTTGGACCGGTATGGATATCAGAAAGTGTTGAGCAGAGACCGGAGGGTATTGTAATATGTGAAGACAAGACTATCACTAAGGAGACTTCATAGATAGGAGCTCGGGGCATATGCCGTTACTGAAAGGACGATACATTCGCGATGGGTACATGGTAAAATAGGACCTATCTGCATTTATGTCCGTCCTCGCGCATGATTGTAAAGGTCGACCCGAACCCTCTCGGAAATTTTGGCGCGGGGGGGGCGAAGTTGCGGGTGGATCAAGAACCATTTGCGGGTGGATCAAGAACGATTCGGTTCATCATTTTGACGGTTTCAAAATGAAGAAGGTCCGATGATTATTTGTCGTATCAGTTGTTCTTGTTTCGACGCGGTATACCCTTGGAGCCGCGACATGCTCCCGCGCGTGCGCATGATAAACGGCGCATCGAACGTACAGCACTGCGACGTTTCTGTCATCTCGGAGGACGTCATCAACGAACTGCTGATTCTTCGTCGCGCTCAGTGCACACCCAGTCGGTGTGCCGTCGATGATGCCGCCCGATAGACACGGTCCCCACATAATCAGCAGCCTTACCAAGGATGCTATAGAGGTCGACCGCGACAGCAGTCTGTACTTCGTGTGCTTTCCGGAAGGTTTCAAGCCGCCGCCGCTGCCGCCACCGCGGCCGATGGGCGGAGACGACGACTTCGGCGGAGGAGCAGGAGCGGAATTGTTTTGCGGGACCGACGAGTACGTATACCAGCATTTTTTCGCCGATTTCGGGCCCCTCCACCTCGGGCACGTGCGGGCTTTCTGCAGGAAGCTTGGGGCTCTGGAGCGGCAACAAGGGCAGCAGCACGAGAAGGGGGGTGGTGAACGTTGTGAGGAGAAGAAGAAGCCGGTGTACGTGTATTCGAGCGATCACCCGCATCGACGGTCGAACGCCGTGGTGCTTGTTGTGGCCTACGCGGTAAGTGGTACAAGCACATCATCACCGTCCATTGAAAATACTTGTGTGTGCTCCCGTAGCGCTGCCCGGCGATGAATATGTATGGAATTTCAAATAGTGCTCCTACAGGCTTGAAATACTTATGTGCACTCGAGTTGGGGTGTGTGTCACTCCTGGCGTTATTATTTTACTTCACCACCGGGACAGGTTTTGTTTGCTTGTCGCGAAAGTCGTCATCGAAGTCCTTTGTGCTGATCCCGTCCCTCAAGCAGTTATTGTTCTCCCATTCCGTCTCAACACTCAAGAACAACTGCTTGTTGTTATCCTGCAAAGCAAGCACCCAGTAGTGTGTCCTTCGCGCCAAGGACACAAAGTCTTAAATACTGCATGATAAGCAAGCGCGGAATAATTGATTGATCGAAGACACGCACACCTCCTTTCGACTGTTTACATGCCGTCCATGCACTACACTGTAAAACACATGCCAAAGCTTAGACCCAAAGGCAGCCGCGTGAAAGCCTATCTATGAAGATACGTTCATGACCGAATTGGACACCCCATACCTTTCGCCTCAGGAAGAATATCTTGAAATGCTCCGAACGGCCTCACAGGTGCTATGCTTGGGGAAGACAGTAGAGGACGCCTACACCCCGTTTCTCGCGGTGCAGCCACCTCTCATCCCGTACCGAGACGCTTCGTTCGGCATCTGCACCTACCACCTCGAGGTGCTCGACTGCGCCCGCGCCCTTGCCCGCGCCGCGTCGCTGGGCCACTTCGACTTGGGCACGTTCAATGCTGACCAATACGCCTTCTACGACAAGATCGAGAATGGGGACTTGAACTGGATAATCCCGGGGAAGTTCGCGGCTTTCAGTGGGCCCCTCGCAACGTGAGCAGGGCTCTTCGGGCGACCGGATGTACATAGATAGATCTTTCGTTCGCGGATACTAGAGCTACAACTGATTAAGTCGTGGCGAGTTTAGTTTCAAACGGGCTTGGAATCTCCGTCGCATTTCCCATTACACGCTACCGCTCGCCCTGACTCCCCCCCACTGTCCCTTCTGATCCCCCGTGGCATCGCCCGTCTTAACGACCACATCCAAACGACCACTGGCATATAATCATGGTGACGAACAACGACGTGTAGCCGGCGAGAGGTGGAACCCGGGAAATGGACGCTGCTCGCCGAGGACTACATTCCCATATTCCGCAAGCTAGGGATTACCTGTGTCGTTCGTTTCAACAAGAAGTGTTACGACAGGCGACGTTTCACGGAGGGGGGCATCAGGCATGTCGACCTCTTCTACGTCGACGGGGGCAACCCGTCCGAAGAAATCCTCCAGAGGTTCCTCAAGATCTGCGAGACTACGAAGGCGAGTGACGCTGCCTACGTACGTACGCGTCTCTACCATTGAGTCTTGGACCCTTCCCCTCTACGTGCCCGGTTGATCGAGCTACACTTTTTTTTTTGTCTCGGGGGATACACCGAGACTACAGCATTGTTGCGGTGTTGGGTAGTGGGGCGTACACTTCTCGTTGATCTTTTTGTCGTATTCTACCAGCAGTAGTTGGCCGTGGCCGCCCCCAGCCCTAAAAGCGGGGGGCACAATTCGATCGTACCGAGTCTGGATGGTGTACATCTGGCCTCACAACAACAGTGTTTTTACTGCCTGACGGAAAGAAAGGTCGACCCAATGGCATGTGTCTACCAAGAGCAGAGACGTGCTACGACAAGGAAGCCATGAGTATAATCATAGATGTTCCGGGCAACTGATATGTCCACGCATAGTAATTCGAACCTCCTTTCTTTGCCTACCGTTCTCATGTTGACGTCGGATCGGCTTTGCCGATTGGAAACAGGGGGCAATCGCCGTCCACTGCAAGGCTGGTCTCGGCAGAACCGGAACTAACATCGCCCTGTACATGATGAAGCACTACGGCTACACCGCCGCGGAGTCCATCGCGCTGTGCCGTATTTGTCGCCCGGGGTCCATCGTCGGCCCTCAACAGCAGTTCCTCCACGATCTCGAGCACCGCATGAAGAAGGAGGGAGATGAATTCCGCCTTCGACGTCGAAGCGGCGGTCAGGACCGGGGTGCCAGCGCGGGAGCGGGCGGCGGCGTCGGCAGCGCCGGCAGCCACAGCGGTGCCGCAGCAACGGGGGTGTCCCCACCCCTCTCGCACCCCGGCAGCGGCCACCGTGCCGAGCGCCGCCTGCCCAACCGGCGGCACCAACGATACTCGCGGGGAGACTCCGGCGCGAGTGGCGTCGGTCAAGGCGGGGAGAGGCCACCAACGTCCGTTCCCACCGGCCGCAGGCCGACCACGTCCCCGCTGCTCATGCGGCGGCACAGCACGGCGTACAGTGGCGGCCGCGGCGGCGGTCGGGGTCGGTATGCGACGGGTCCCCTGGGATCAGGCCGGCGTAATGTAGGGGGGCGATGGGACGCGGTGGAGGAAGGGCTGGAGATTCGCGGCGGCGGTGGCGGTGGCAGTGGCGGTGACGGTGGGAGGGGGGGGGTCCGGAGTATCAATGGCGGTAACAGTAGGGGAAGGGGTCGTGGAAGACGAGCAGAAGGTCTCCAGCGGCCCCGGAGGGGGAGTTCGCCCTCGGCTAGAATGCACAACGGGGGGGGCGTGAGCGGGGGCGGGGGAGCAGACGTCGGGGACTTGATGGGATCCCTTCGGCTTGATGGCGTCAACGGAGCTGCGGCCGGCGGCGGCGGCGACGGCGGAGGTAGCGCAGATCGGGCGGCGGTCGTCGGTGCTTCTACCGCTCGAGGGAAGCTGGCCCCGCTGACTGCACCGTCTGCCAGGCCCACCACCAGCGCCTCGGCGGTCAGAAATGGAAGGAGGCTTTCAGCCCCCGCCCTGCGGCCGGAGGAACTGACACGAACAGGCGCCGCCAGCAACGCCCCCGTTGCTACCACGACATCAACGTACGGTGGCAAACCGGTGGCAGCGTCGGGCAATGGCGGGGCGAGTAGCAGCAGCAGCAGGAGTAGCGTCAGAGCAGCGGCAGCCCGGAGAGCAGTAGCGCCGGGCAAGGCGTCCTTAGCTTGGCAGCACCCCGTCGACAGGAACAGCAGCATAGGGAGGGGTGAAAGGGATGGGCGGCACGGAAACCACGCTCTGGGAGGGGGATCGTGGGAGGCGAACGACTCTCCTTCGCTTGGCGTGGATTCTCGCGAGACACACCGATAGCAGTCGTCTGGCCGGCGCGAGTACGCTGATAGAGGCCCCAATAGATTAGCACATGAAAACAAGTATCGAGGCTACGTTACTTCACTTCATTGCGCCGCGTCAAGTACTCTGGGTTAAGGTGGGCTTGTCGTGGATACTATTCGGTAGAGATATTGTGAAGCTGCTGATGGAGAATCCTGTTTGTGTGTATGTACGCCCGTAGAAATAGGTATTCGTGGCATGTGTTAAACTGCAAGAGCTTGCTCACGAAGTCCGCCTCTGACTCCACAAGGGGTCACGTTGGCAAACAATGAGGTCTCGTTTCGTTGAAGGTCGCTGGACAAAAGTGAAAAAATGACACGAATTATCGATTCAAGGTTCACAGCTTGACCGCCCCGTTAGCCAGGACGGTTGGGTCGCACCGTCTAGCTACAATACTCGTCTCTTGCCATTGGAGGCTTGAGTTTTTCCACCTCAGCTGGCCACGCCGAACCTCACTGAACCGATCTTTTTATCTACCCCCCCGCCGCCCTCGAGGCAGTTACACAGCGCTTACAACTGTCTCTGGAAGTGAAAGCACCAGAAAATAAATTAAGTCATACGTAGCTGTCATCCGTACGCAAGGAAGTAAGCACAAGATGCCGAACACCCTTAGCAGGATGCAGCTCACCCTTCATGCGACTCGCCAAATACCTCACGGCGCTTCGCGCTTGGTCATGTGAGAGCCTGGTCCGGTGAGAACCCGGCGTGCTCCGTCCCGGGCTTTGTAGGGATGCGAGGTCAATGGTCAAACGACTACGGCATGCACGACTATGAGTACACCCCCACCCCCCACCCCCCGCCGTCACAACACTAACACTCACACAACATAAAGAAACAGCCATCTCCGCTCACCGCACCTTAGTCGCCTCCATCCTCGGTTTGAATACCAACAGCTAGCATGCTGCAATCCCTAAACCCAACCTAAACCCTATAACTACCGTTCAGTTAAACCCCCGGCAGGGTAGCAATAAGCCACACACGCCGCCTTCCCCCGAGTACATTGGGGCACCCAATTTCCCCGACCATCCTTTGAATTCGCACGCGGAATGTCTACGCTGCAACGAGGGACACGAAGGACCCAATGACCGCATAGCCCCTTTTCCTCTCATTGCTATGTCTCTGCCATTCCGTGCACAAAGCTCGAGGCAGAGTGGATACAAACGCCCGTCTTCATGCCAAACGGTGTATAGTAGTATACATAGTGATACTGACGTCCAGACGAACAGGATGATGACAACACGCATCGTGCCAAGAAACAATCACTCTCAAGGGTTGCCGCATCAGGATCTATCGCGTCTGTACCGGATTGAAGTGGTACCATGGTACCTGGAGACGGAATGTCTTCCAACACCAGACAAATCGTCTAGCGCCGCTTCTTCGGCGATAAATGGCCAACGAATATCTATCTCCGCTTCTCTCAAAGGAATCAATAGATCACGATCCTGTATCACTGTGTCACAGCACAGCAATACCCTGGGGGTGCCAAGGCCTCTCCCACCCGGTGTAACCAGCCCCCAAACGCCTTCAGAAGGAAGCTTGTTTCGGGGTTGCAAGTTCCCAAACAAACGACACTACACAATATGCCATCAACACAGCGAGCAACCTCTCAAAACACGCCTTTTCTACAACCAACCCCACCTCATCGCCTACATACTATGCATGCACACGTGGAACTCCATCTATCGTTACGTGCACACATGATGATGAGTGAATGCGCGTACAACGGCGGGAACACGAAACCGCCCTCGAAGGACGAAACCGCAAAACAGCAACAACAACTACCAATCTCCCATACCCCCGCGCACATTCACGACTTGTCGCCAAGGGGCTCGACATGCCGTTACGCCAACTCTTCGGATAGACTATACACCACCGCCGTTCGTGTGACGAACATCACACCAAACACACACTTTCCGTCTCCGTTCAAATAAATAGCCCGGCTGACCTCTAGAGTGGTACATGAACGGAGTATGTAATGTATTGTAAGAACTGATTATTATAGATCTCCACGAGTCTCAAGAGTTATCCATGTCAAAATCAAGCGCACCTTACACTTTTAAATTACAGGCACACGAAAGGACACACTGGGTGTAAATGTTAACCTGCACACGTACGCACGTTTCACATGGGTCAGAAGTACTTTCTTCACAAATACATTGTGATACTGTACACACAAACGAGTGGAACAACACCTACAACCTCACACCCTCTCTCCTTTCGATTCCCACTCCCTTCCCTTCGCTTCCCTCTCGTGTGTCTCTCTAGTATCTCTTTTCCTTCCAAGAAACCAACAGTAAGTAAATACGGGTGGTGACACCAACCGCTTACACGGAAAACAGCCCTTCCTCGGACAAATACAGTAAGTAGCCCTTCTTCTCAAGAAGAAGAAAAAAAATCGACAAGCTATGTATCGTCTTTTCCGTTTCGATGTTAAACTAGACCCATCACTCTGTATTAACAGAACGGTACCTGGCCGTACTCAGTCTATGTTGCCACACAATCGACACTCTCCAATGCATCCGTATGTATGTGCGGAAAGTCATGAGTAGAAAAAACCCTTCTCCTTGTGTAGGCAGGCACTAGCGGGGCGTGTCCCGGACTCAGCCGCGCTTCGCCGCCCGGATCTCCGCCAGGAGATCGCCCATGCCGGCCGGTCCTTGGCCGCCCCCGCTCTGTGTGCCGCCGCCGCCGCCGCCGCCTCCTCCTCGATCCCCGCGGGCGCGGATCTCCGCCAGGAGACCGCCTATGCCGGCCTGCGCTTGGCTACCGCCGCTCTGTGTGCCGCCGCCGCCGCCGCCGCCGACTTCTCCGCGGGCCCGGATCTGCGACAGCATTCCCAGCATCGGCGCCGGCGGGGGCGGGGGCGGGGGGGGCAGGCCGCCGGTCGAGTGAGAGCCGTCGCCGCCGTCCTTCCTGGCGGTGTTCGCGGACAGGAAGACGCGGAAGAACTTCGACTTGGGCTTCCACAACGTCGCGGCGGCGATGCCCGCGGCCTTCTCGCCGATGGCCCGCTGCGGCGGGGAGGCAGTCACCGGCATGCTTGCCTTCCTGCTTCCCGCGCCGGCGGCAGCCGAGGGGGCGGCGGCGGCGGCGGCGGCGGCAGTAGTGCCCGGGGGCGGGGCCCGTCCGTGCAAGGTCTTGCTCAGCGTCTTCTCCAGGACGGCGCCGAAGGCCTTGATGCGACCGTTGGCGTGCCCGGGGCCAGAGCCGCCGTCGACCGAAGCCTTCTCTCCCGCCGCTGCTTCTTCCCCGTCCACATCGACGCCGGTGCCATCGCCAGCGCCGGTGGTGCTCTTGCCGCCGCCGTCCTCCGACGCCCCTACCGCCGCGGCCGCCGCCGCCGCCGGCATTCCGCGGGAGGAGAAGACCCTGGCGAGCTCTTCCTTCCGGATTTTGGCCTCCTCGTCCGCGGTGACGAACCGCAGAGACCTGCTCTTGTCGCTCCGCCTTGACCGGAGCTCGGGGGTAGGGTCGAACGCTCCCTCCACCTCCGACCCCTTGGCCACCTCTGCCTCCCCCTCGTCCTCATTCTCGTCCACCGCCGCAGCCGCCGCGCTCGCCGGGCCGTCATCTTCACGTGCCGGGGTGCTGGGGGTAGCGGTAGCGGTAGAGGCGGTTGCTGCCGCCTCGACCTTCTGCTGCTGCTGCTGCTGCTGCTGCTGCATGGCTGAGAGGCGGAGCTCCCTCGCCCGGTCGGAGAGCAGGCGTCGAGTTGCCGCGGCCTCCTCCAGCGTGCCGTCCACCGTGGAAGGGCTGTCCCGCAACGCGCGGGCGGCCGATACTACGTGACCCTCGAGGCGTTTTTCTTCCTTGGACAGTCTGTAATATTGGAGGGCGGGTATGGGGGGTTGTGGGGGGTGGGTGGGGGGGGGAGAGGTACCGGTTACGTCTTTTTATTTGCATACTGTACTGTATCGCCATGGAGTTGAGTAAATCGAGCGCCCGGTTCGAGACTTGGCACTCACAACTGCGTACAAGCACTGTACGAGAGGTTGAGGGGGAGAGAAGAGGGAAAGGCCAAAGGCTCTGTGGCAAAACAATTTCGAAACAACCAAGAATTCATTCTGGGCGCACCATATGGTTTGTGTTCCTGACCTTTCTCGTGCTTGTTCGTGGTGGATATGCACGGTGTGCTCTCTCTTCTTTGCATGAAAACTGCAAGTGTCAATGGGCAGGTCTGCGAGATATACTATGGGCAGGCCGGAGAAACATACTAGGCTGATTTTCGTGCCGAATGGCGATTACAACCATCGACCAAAAAACTATGACATGTCACCATCTACCCGTCAGCGTTTTTCTTTTCTCCAAAAAGCGGTCTACACTTGACAGACATTTTTCTGCCGATAACGGTTCCAGGATAAAGTTCGCCAAAAATGAAGTCACATTCTCGCGAAACTGGATCCACACGCAGTAAAGCATTTTAACCAATCCTGGATAAAAACTACGTGCATGTTGTAAAGACCCCCACCTGTTGACCTCTGACTTGGCCTCTTCTCGTGCCCTCCGGAGATCCTCCGGCTTCCACGTCTTCTTGTTGAAGGGGTGCCTCGTGTCTTCGAGGACGTCAGCATGCTCCTGTCTCGCCTCGGGGAGAAGCTTGTCCCGCACCTGATGGCGACAACAACGAGGTACAGTGGTGGTGATGGCGGCGGAGATGGATGGATGTGAGAAGTGAGAATGAGCAATGACGAATGATGATTTTGCATGCCTTTGGTCGTGATGCTTGCTATTTGGCCAAGAAGACCCTTGAGTCTCCGGGGTGATGCGAACACATCGATTTGATGCTAGTCCAACAAAAAAACAGTTTTCGGGACCCAAAACAAAAAAGTTCTCTGAGCCATGTAGAAGCTACGATTCCAGCGATCACGCAACCACACCAAACTAGAGCGACATGCTTCACGCGCCGGGGGACACGCGCACGCACACGAAACACGTGGTACCAAAACTAACGGCAGCAGCAGCGCACCAACAACTGACCTCGGCCAACTCGGCCCGCTTCGCCTCCAGCCTGCACTGCCGCTCTCGGAGCTTGTCCACCCTGGCCTGCACCTCCACCGCCGTCGGATAGAAGTACTCCTCCCTCCTGGTCTGCCCGGCGCTCAGCTCGGGGAGGCGCACTTGCCGCCTGGCCGAGATCTCGGGGTCCCACCCCCTGCTCACCGTGTCGCCCCTCTCCTGGAAAACCAAGGCGCATCATGATAGAAGAATACGGAGCGGTCGTGTGCGAATGTTGTTGTGGTGTTGGTCAATGCCGGGCTGTGGGGAACAGTTTTACTGCGGGTGAACAAAGTTGTTATTAGTGTACTATACACCAAAAAAGTGGACAGCGTTTCTCAATTGGTGTATGGTACACATGAGAGACTCGATGGCTTCACGGTCGACGAGGAAAAAGAAACACAGCAGAACCCTTCTCGAGATTGGAATGAAAACAATCACGGACGGTAGGCAGCAGGAAGGTGAAGGTGGTCTGTGTGGCCTATCTTCCTGCATGACCCAGGCTTTTCTGTACTCGGAGTGATGTTCGTCAGGATCTGTCAAGCGCGGCAAATATCCTGACCTCAAATTGATTTCAAAAATCCCAAAACTTCAAATTAGAAACTCCAGGAGGAACGGCCTGGGAGCCAAGGTCACGGACGTAGCGGCGCGTCCAAAATAATTGACACCAGAGCGTGTTAAATCGACATGGATGTCCAGAGCGAAAGGGATGCCATGACATTCCAATACTGATCTAGCCAAATACCGCTGCAGAACACACTGTGAAGTTTGTTGGGAGCGAACACCTGGGCGTGTAGACCATCTCTCTCACAGTCTATCTCTCATTTCCATGTGTTTCTTTCTGATTCACCTCACCTGCGCCACGAGACCCTTCGCCCTTTGCACGAACTCGGCCCTCCAGGCGGCCTTGCGACCGTCATCGTCGACCTCGAACTTGGCCGGAAGGCACGCCAGGATCGCTCTCATCTCCACCAGATCGTACTGCAAGACAGATACCATGATATCACGACAAAGAATATCATCCACGACGAACAAGAAGCACAACGAACAGCAGTTTGGCGGCAATACATTTTTTGCCGCGAGTGTGGTGTTTGTTTACTGTTGTGCATAAAACATATGCATGTCTCAAAGTTGAGTCTCTCGAAGAGAAGACCAAATATAGTAGTCCATCGCCTACCTCTATTCGTGGGGCAGCCGGTTAAGGCGATTGTACAAAAGGCAGAGAAATAAACAAAGTCCTTCAACACACGGAGAGTGGGTAGTGTAAGGTCCAACAAGGAAAAAGCAACAGATAGATCCATCTCTACTGCAGATGATATATAAGAGCCCGGGATGGATTGTTTCCGCTCACCCTCCCTCCCCGTACCATGATGCAAGTCAAGATTCCATACCATGACGCCAGTGATCCCCCCCCCCCCCCCCCTGACGGTGTCCCTCATACAATAGTAAGTACCTTGTCCATGTTGGTGAAAAAGTGGGCGTGGGCGCCCTGCAGAAAGTTGCTCCTGGCGATGTCCTCCGGGTGCATCACCACCCACTGGAGCAGGCGGTTCTCCTAAAATACAATAATGCAATAATACGATAGTACAATGGGGTTTATGTTGGGGGTGACGATACGAACGACCAACAGGCGAGACACAACTAGTTGAGTGCAGCAAGCACCCTAAGGACGAGGAAGTTCAAAAATAATGGGAGAGATTTGATTGTATTTGACAAGCGTCCAGGGGTGAATGCAATTGAGGTGTCCTTTTCCGAAGCAGGGGGAAATCTCTCTGGCTCTAGTCCTTGCACGTAGCTGTCGAATAATGACATGGTTACCCCGCTATTCCGCGATTCAACAAAAAAACAAATGCCAATGCAAGACAAAGGGGCCTAGCTCGGGTTGGGAACGGAGGCCTGCAGGGCGAGAAGGGTGGGGAGGTGCCGTGTTGCTTGCTGCCGTTCACCTTCTTTCCTAGACATGGGAAGGTAAAGAAGGCAGGGTGTGCGATTTGATTACCGTGACTATTCGCATGCATCCCCCCGTGCTATCACAGCCTTACTCCAATCACCTTCAGTCGCAGCGAGAGTTCCCTCGGGAATAGGGAACCCCCATCAATAGCGGCCTGTTCGAGCTGAGCTACTGTCAGGCCGGTCACGCCCACCGGCATAAGAGACCGCATGCTCCGCAGCGCCTGGTCGTTTGCGTCGGCCTCCCGCTCGAACCAGGCGGCTTCTTCGTCGGAGAGGTGCTGTTGTTTAAATTTATTTTGACAGGATTGACGCAAGAAAGTGAACAAGCACAGTGCGATCGGAGGGAGTGGGGTGTTTGTGGAAGGTTGTTGATTCAAGGTGATGTGTTGCAGGGAGGGGCGGTTGATGAAGCGATTGAGGGCAGGACACCGCGCATGACGCTCGAGGGAATACACCCACCACATCGGGCAAATACGCACAGCAGCAGCAGCAGCAGCAGCAGCAGCAGCAGCAGGATGCTTGGTTTGTACTAAAATCAGCGAGATGTTCGTTCGCTGATTTGCGCGCGCAGCTCACATTCGTGAACAAAAATAGCCTTAACGTTGTATCCATTTGTTATTCGCGAAAAAAAAAGACGTCTACCTTCACCACGGTAACCCTGCCACACCTACCTTCACGTATTCCGGCAGGGTCTCCTTACGGCTCGAGCGCGGACTGACAGTCTCTCCTGCACAATGAGTGACCAACAACAGCAACAACCATAGTGTGGGGGGAGGGGGGGGGGGGGGGGCACGCGAATGGACACGACACGAGGTTGGGATCGAGGCATACGAACAAGTACATTGGAGGCACAAAACCACAGCATAAAAACCAAATCCTTGGACAATGCCAATAACTACAGCAGACAGAGCTTCCAACCCCTCCCAGTTTCCCTTGCCCTAATCTAACCATGTGCACCCTTCCCCGCTTCCGCTACACTCACAACTTACAATAGAACCCAAGCGATGTTCCATGACCACCGTAGTCTAACCCTCACCTTGTTTGGCTGAGTCCCTCGGACATTGTCTTGGCGGAAGCCTCGATGCTGTCGAGGCCGCTCCTAGCCCGGGCGGGGACGACGAGCTCTCTGGCCGACCCTACGCTCGCCGTGATGCCTGTCATGCATCGAAAGGGTGACGGGAAGGGGGGAGGGACGTCGTCGAACACACGCGCAGAGAGATGTGATGTTGGGGGTTGTTCTATATGTTGGAGTTGTCCCAATTGTCGTTTTTTTCGCTCATGTTTCACGTTTTCCCTGCTGGTGTTTTCCCTGTTCGTGGCGGCGAAGAACGCAGCAGCACACATGAATGTGAGTGAGTATGTGCAGGACACATCTAGCGCGAGAGAGGAACGAACAAGCAACAGTATACATTTTTTCTTGGCCACGCTCACGTACTGAAAGAGTAAAATGTAAAAGTTTTTGCTGACCGGAACATACGTGTGGTCGTGCTAAGAGAAGAACTTTCCGTGTCTTTTTTTCATCACCACGATTATTTATATACGTTCGCTCGCATTTCTACCTCTCTCTACCGCATGGATCCAATACAAAAAAAAAGAAGGCAAATTGGAGGAAATATGTATTTTTTTGCTGGTATGTCGTCTACAGTACACCATAAAAAAAATCTGTAGCCTTCCTCCTGTGGGACACCAACTCATGCGCCCAGAAAAGAAACATCGAAACGTATCAAAAACAAAAACTGGCGTCAACAATATATGGCACCACCCACACACGTCTAGCTGGCCTCATGCAACTTTACTACCACCGTACGCACCGATGACAGTCTCCAGGGCGGTCTTGCTCTCTCCAAACATCTTGCCCCTGCGACCACACTCCTCTTTCATCAGGTCCCCCAAGGCGCGGACCCTCTCCTTCCCGGCGGAGATGCCCTCGAGCGCATACCGCAGCTCCGCCTCGGCCATGCCCCTGGCCTTGCCAAGGTGGTCCATCTCTGTAGCCGTGTCGGTCTTGTCGTCATCGTCACCGATGAGGGTCGTGAGGGACTTCTCCTGGTTGTACAGGCAAAGGTTTAGGGGGGGGGGGGGGTACTCATAGTCGTGCATGCCGTTGTCGTTAGACCATTGACCTCGCATCCCTACAAAGCCGGGACGGAGCACGCCGGGTTCTTACCGGACCAGGCTCTCACATCACCAAGCGCGAAGCGCCGTAAGGTATTCGGCGAGTCGCATGAAGGGTGCGCTGCATCCTGCTAAGGGTGTTCGGCATCTTGTGCTTACTTCCTTGCGTACGGATGACAGCGGCGTATGACTTAATTTATTTTCTGGTGCTTTCACTTCCAGAGACAGTTGGAAGCACTGTGTAACTGCCTCGAGGATGCTTGACCATTTTAACACAACGTGGTGCGATCATCCCCCGTTGCGCGGAGCGAGGGTTCTCCACCCCGTACAACATGATCTACTCGACCACCATTATGGTTACCGCCAAAGAAAAACAAAAGAAAAAAAAACGGTAACCTGGTTGCCG